AGCAAATTTGGATAACTCTCCAGTGGCCACAAGACTGGAAAATACCAGTTTTCATTGCAATCCCAAAGAAAGGTAATGCCAAAGAATGTTGAAACTACCACACAGTTGCACTCATCTCACACACTAGCACACTCACACTCTAGCCCCAGGTTGTGTCTTGGTGTCTAGAGGGTGAGGCAGTCCCCAGGTCTCAGATCTTCAGCAAACACACTTCTCCCCAGATCCAAGCAAAGTAGGCTGTCATTCTCACATGAAAGGAAGCTGTCTTTGTCTTTGGATCCACCATACCTAGTTGGATGGCATTGGTGTAATAGTAGTGTAAGTGGGACTCACACATTTGATCCACCCGCATGGTCAGCTTTACCTCCTGCAGTGAGTTAGGGTAGGTGCCCATAGAGTCCCTCCCGCAGCGGGCCACACTGCATGTCTATCCTGGCTTCATGCAGGCCATGGCCCTGGGCAGGCGGAGCTGCCTCACAGCTACAAGTCTACTTGGCCTTTCTCTCCAGCTATGGGAAGAGGCAAGAGTCTGGCTCAGCTGGTGGTGCCTGAGCCTGGACAGGGCAGTGACGTTGATGTGTCTCCCCTCTCCTGAGCCACAGGGACCGGTCAGGTGGCCAGGATGGGAGGGAGGAAAGGGCAGGAGATCCTGGGAAGGCAATGATCTGATCCCAGGAGGGCAGGGCTAGTGGGGAGTTTTCCTTGCCTGCAGTAACATGATGTCGTTGGAGAAGTTCTTAGGATTATAGTCTGGGTGACAGATGGCTCTTCTCACCTGGATGTTCTGCTGGGTCCTCTCCTGCTGTTTGATGTTGTGGGCCCCCAGGGTGATGTTGATTGAGCTGCACGGAGGGCAGAGCAGGGGTGTGGGGATCATGGGGTCACCGGAGATACAGCCCAGGAGCTGTGACAGGCAGCTGACACCAGGGCAGGGCAGCCGCTGAGGGGGAATTGAGGTGACAGACGGTCCTGGGGCTCAGTGACTCTGGGCCTTGTGCTTCTCGGTGACATGAGGGCAGGGCTCCCGGGAGCTTTCTCAGCAATATTGTGAGGTGACTCTCAGTTTGGGTTTTGGCTCTCACTGCATGCTTTCAACCTCTGATGCTTTATTTGGCCATTGTGGGTCAACCCTTCTCAACCCTGTCTCTTGTTCTCACCTCCGACCCACTGACCTCAAAACTTGCCTGTCCTGTTTCTCAACTTTTCCACATCCTCAGTTCAGTTCAGTTCAGCCGCTCAGTCATGTCCAACTCTTTGCAACCCCATGAATCGCAGCACGCCAGGCCTCCCTGTTCATCACCAACTCCCAGAGTTTACTCAAACCCATGTCCATCGAGTCGGTGATGCCATCCAGCCATCTCATCCTCTGCTGTCCCCTTCTCCTCCTGCCCCCAATCCCTCCCAGCATCAGGGTCTTTTCCAATAAGCCAATGGACTTTTTGCATGAGGTGGCCAAAGTATTGGAGTTTCAGCTTCAGTATCAGTCCTTCCAATGAACATTCAGGACTGATCTCCTTTAGGATGGACTGGTTGGATCTCCTTGCAGTCCAAGGGACTCTCAAGAGTCTTCTCCAACACCACAGTTCAAAAGCATCAATTCTTCAGCATTCAGCTTTCTTCACAGTCCAACTCTCACATCCATACATGACCACTGGAAAAACCATAGCCTTGACTAGACAGACCTCTGTTTGCAAAGTAATGTCTCTGGTTTTTAAAATGCTATCTACGTTGGTCATAACTTTCCTTAAAAGGAGTAGGTGTCTTTTAATTTCATGGCTGCACTCACCATCTGCAGTGATTTTGGAGCCCAATAAAACAAAGTCAGCCACTGTTTCCACTGTTTCCCCATCTATTTCCCATTTCAACACCCTAGTCCTCCTTTTAAGATGGCTAGTTTGATGAGCTCTTGTGATCCTGGATTGTCAGGATTCTGGGGTGAAGGAGGCGCTCCCCTTGGATCAGCTCTTATGGAGAGGATGGGCCCATGCCAGAGCCTCAGGAGGGGTAGGCTCTATGTTTATCCTCATCTTCATCTGAACTGAGCAGCTGTCAGAACAAAGCCCTTTTGCCTGAGGACACTTTCTCACCTCTAACAACTCAGCCAAAAATGGGCTACTTGGGGTCTGAGGCATAGTTAAGGCACCTGGAGAGCTTTGTGTGCTATCATCTAGCCACTTCTGATCAATCACACCCTGGGCTCCTCTCCTGGGCAGGAGTGAGGGGTGGCAGACACAGAAATTTCATGGGTTCTTAAGCTGGGTCCACTGACAGCTTCCATACTGTGGGTAGTTTGTCTGAGTTTTCCATTCCTGGCTGGAGTGAGGGATTTTACTTACTTGCGTTCTGTAGCTTCACATCCTCCAACAAATGCACAACTCACTTTCCTGGTGTTGAGAAAGACTGAGATCCGTGAAACCTGCCTGCCTGCCATCCCTCCTTGCTGAGTGTCTATGCGGCATCAGATTTGTAGTCTTGGTTGGGATGGGAGCTGGTTCAGGAATTGGAGCTGAGCAGAAGGGTCAGGACTGCAGGAGGTTTAGTGAGATGAGTTCCACTCTCAGGAATGGGGACAGTCACTCATATGTCCCAGCCTGGGAGGGAGAAGAAAAGCCATTAGGAGCAGGAGTGGCTGAATCTTCCAGGTTTGCCCAGCTCAGAGCTGTTGGGGTTTCTTCCTTCCAGACACAAAGCATAGAGGAAGGAAGGAGGGGAAGCTCAGGGTCCCCACAGACCTCCCTGAGCTGTGCACCCCCTAGCCGGGTGTGAGCATGCCACGTGTGCCCATGTTCTCTGCTTGGGAGAGGTGAGAACGACAGTCACCACACTTGCTCTCCCACTGCTGAGTCACAAAGCAAGAGGAACAAGAACGTGGAGGCTGGGTTGCAGCCGGGGGAGGAGCTGGGTCCCCAGAGGCCCTCAGTGACTGAAGCAAGAGTGTCTTCATTTCTCCCCTCTTGGGTCTTCTTTGATTCTGGGGAAAGCATGAAGAATTACCCGATAGGTGAGCTGCAGGGATAACAGAGACATGGCTCCTGTGCTTGAGAAGCTCGGGGGCCGGAGGAGACCTAGAATCTGTGAGTAGAGATCACGTGGGTGAGGACTGTGGTGCGGGGCTCTACTTGGGGTCAAGTGTGAGGCAGAGACTGGACTTGCTTTAGCAGCAGAGAGACATGGACTCATCCAAGTGCCCCAAACATCAACCCCATTTCCTATCTTGCCAGGGATCCAACCTCACATTTTTGGAAAGTTTAGAATTACCTCTTTAAATGTAACTATTCTGCAACAAAAGGAGTTTTTCTCATCCTACAGTTTAGAGTGAAAGTCCTGGACTTGATATTTATTGAAACAGAACAAACCCTCACTAGGTCCTTCGGCAATGAGGGACATGATTGGGTTGTGCTGAGGTATCCAGCACCCCTCTACTGACATGGGGGCTGTCCCACCCGAGTCAGGGTGTTTGTGAGTCAGGAGGGGCTTCCTCTCCAGAAATGCTGGTGACTGGTGAGTGGTGAAAAGGAAACAGATGGGGGTCATCTAATACTTAGTCCCCACTAATATTCTCTGTCCAGAGTCCAGAGAGCCGTATATCTGATGTCTTTGGGCCAGGCCATCCTAAACATGTGCAGATGACCCCAACACTCTCATCAGTATGAGGACAGGAGAAAGAGGAATGGAAAGGATGGCATGAGGAGCTCTAAACAACCCAATCCCATGTGAGTTGAAGCAAGAGCATCTTATGAATAAATAGAAAAAAACGTGGAAGGAAATATGCTTAAGCATTAATGATGATCTGAGAGTGTGAAATTCTTGGTAATTTTTTATTTTCTTATATATATATATATGTTTTAGTTGTCTTTCTGTAATGAATATGTTCCGTTTATGAGGAATATGTTTTGATGAATATGTGTTACTTTCTACCCCAAACACATTTTGCGATAGTTGAAGCTCGCTCTTCATTCAAACGTTCAGCAAACCACTTCTCTTCAGTGCTAAGGTGCATGCTTTAAAAGTGAAGTTGGTTTTCTCAATATGTACCTGTATCAAAACCTCACGATGGATGAAAAATAGAAGAGAAAATGTACCCAATAACCTATGGCTATAGACACCTTTGAAACTTTAGGATACCTTGAAATTCAATAATTGGTTTACAGTGCCTTTCCTTTGGAAATAAATATATTTACACACACACACACACACACACACGTGTGAGCAATGGAGGTGGGAGCAGCTATCTCAGCCCAAGGTAGAAGAACTCCCTCAAGGTCATTTAGGGCTGAAGGTGGATGTGCCCTCAGGACACCAGAGGCTGCACAGGGCCCTGGGCCCGGGACTCCAAGACAGGGCTGTGACAGACACTTGAGCTGAGCTTGGGAACACTGAAGCCCACCTGAAACTTTCTCAAGCTTCTGAGTTCTGTCTCCTCTGATGCAGGGAGAGAACACTCATGGGGTGAGCCATATCTTTGGAAACCTCCCCCACTTCTGTTAGGGTGGACAAGTGCCCCCTCAACCCCAGAGCTTCTCAGGTGGCCCTCCTTCCAAATCTGGATTCTCTTCTGTTGCCCCTTGGGCACTGGGATGGGGGATAGGGGAGTGGGTGTGGTTGAGGAGGAGGGCATATGGATGAGAAATGAGGGTCATCAAGAAGAGGGTCATGTGTTCCTGAGGAGGGGGTCTCCCTTTTCTGAGGGAGCTCACGGGCAGCCTGCAGGGGGAGCTGGCACTGGGGACATGTGACTGGAGGGAGCTGGCTGTCAGTGCAGCAGGAGTTTTTATTCTGGAGCTGGAAGGTGGGGGTGAGAGGGGCGATGTATGTGCCGGAGGGGGAAAGCTGGTGATAGATCAGAAATGTGAACAGATGTTTCCCTGGCAGAGTAGGTGCCTAATGAGTATGTGAGTAAAGGAGGAATCAGTGATTTCTGCTCAAAAGATAAAACTTTATTTAAAGTTCCAGGCAGACCTCCTCCACCCACTTTGCCCAACACCTCTACCCCAGGGAAGATGGAAAGAACAATCCTGGGGGACCTCAGTCTGGTCCCTGAAGTTTGTACGTTTTCATTGTTTCTTTGATCCATTGCTGAAAACTTGAGATTCTGGTGTAGACATCTGGAGGTGTATCTGCTCCATAGGACACAATGCCCTGGGCCACACCGTTACACACGAGCGGGCCCCCGGAGTCACCCTGTGGGCAGAGAGAGCAAGGGCTGAGCTCACCTTCTTCAGGTCTGTTCTCCCTGCCACCCTGGGGCGGGTGGTCTCTGATAGGGGCCCTGGCTGATATCAGGGCCTTGTTGGTCCTGAGGTTTCAATCTGGCCCTGACAATCCGCCTCCTCCTGCAGGAACTCTCCACCCATGTGTGACTGTGGGGCAGCGTTCACCCCCCAGGAACACGGGACAGAGACCAGATAGGAGGACAGGCTGGGGACACAGGGACGGGGCTCATTCCCCCTGCCCCCCATCCTCACAGCTTGGCTGTGCCCAGGGCTTTGAATGGATAAAGGTGTGTTACTCACTTTCATAGCATTCTTCCTCATCCTTGGATTTCCCACACATATCTGGGTGTCAGTGTTATAATGTTTATAGCGAACTTTGCATTCCTCATCCCTTTGGACTTCAAGCTCTACCTCCTGCAGTTTGTCTGTGGTGGAGCCATTCACATAGAGGCGTCCCCAGCCGGCCACACTGCACAGCATCCCTGGTTTCACCGTATCTGAGCCGCTGGGCAGATGGATGGTGCTCACAGTGGCGGTCAATTTGGCCTTCCTCTTCAGCTGAAGGCAGAAGAAAGGCATTCTCAGCTACTGATGACCACAGAGACTGCAGAACATTTGTGGGGTTGACTTCTTCTCAGTGCTCAAACCACGGAAGGGGTGGTACAGGAGGAAGGGCAGGAATGAGGTCGGGGGGAGGCAGAGCCCTGGGAGGAGTGTCCCAGAGTCGATGCAGCCACGTGTCCCACCTGCAGTAACATGATGTCGTTGACATGATTCTTATTATTATAGCCTGGGTGGGGGATGGCTCTTCTCACCCGGATGACCTGCTGGGTCCTCTCCTTCTTCTTGATGTTGTGGGCCCCCAGTTTGACCTTAATTGATCTGTACACATAGCAGAGAGGGAGGGGGAGTCACAGGAGATACAGAACAGGAGCCTGAAGGACAGAGCACTGCTGGGAACAGGGCGGGACCGGTGGGGAGAGAATTCTAGCCCATGGACCCTGGGTCTGAGCTCCTCTGTGCTGCCTGCTTCTGGCAGCCTGGGAAGGCTGGTAGTTCTTGGAGTCCATGGAGGGTGTTCAATCCTGCGCAGGCTTGACTGTCTCTAAGGAAAACATGAACTTCTCCCATTTGCACTCTGGACTCCAGGGTACAACCTTAGTTAGCTTCCTTCCCTCTCAGGGTTGATCAGTCCATTCTCTCCATGCATCACTGGCATTGACCTGTCCATCTCCCCCCAAGGCTCACCTGTCCTCCGAAGAACTTCCTGTGTTACTGGTAGCCAAGGTCTGCAGCCCCTGAGAAGAGGGTTCCCTGGAGGCTCAACAGAGGGATGGGGACCCGGGCACTGCTCCTCACCTTCTCTGGCAGTGAGCTGCTGTCAGCACGAAGTCCTCACGCACGAGGAAACCCCCACACATGTGAGTTTCCCTTGAAGTCTTGGACTGAAGATACGCCATGTAAGGACGGGAGTGAGGCTTGGCCTCTTGGCCCTCGATGATTTTCCCTGAAAGAAAGATTCCAGCCTGCCCACTGTGCTTATGGAGCCAAGGGTGGGGAGGGGAGATAAGCCCAGATTTGTTGGTCTTTGAGGGAATTTGACCCAAATTCAGAAATTTCCTTACATGGACCAGGGGCCAGGGTGTACATGAGTGTAGCATCTGAGCAGGTCTGTCCATGTGGGGTGGGTCTGGGCCTCTGAGGGTGGGACCGTCACTCACCTGCCTCCCCAGTGGGGAACAGAAGAAGGGCCGCCAGGAGCAGGAATATGACCATCTCTCCAGGAAGGCTGATCAGATCTGAACAGCTGCTGCTTCCGTCTGGTCTTTTAACCCTAAGTGTCTGCTCTGGTGTGGTTTTTATCACCTGAGACTTTTCTGAAAGCCTCACACATCTGTCTGATCAGATCTTGGGGTCTGAGTGGAGTACGTACTTAGTGGTCACCACAGAGGCACCCATAAGCTCTTGGCTTAGTGCCATTACTCAGCAGAAAACAAGAAAATCACTACAAGTAGGAGCAGTGAGAGGTTGTATCAGCAAATACCAGATCTTTGAGCCCCAGCATTCTGGGTCCCATGATGAGAGATTCAAGAATGTCTTCATTTCTGTGGTTCTCTTTAGATCACCAGGGTCATTATTTATATAACAATTTTATTTCATTTTTAAGTGGAGGAAAATTACAATATTGGGATGGTTTCTGCCATACGTCATAATGAATCAGCCGTAGGGATAAATGTCCCCTCCCCCTTAAATCGCCTCCCCACCTCCCTCTCCATCCCACCCCCATAGGTTGTCATAGAGCACTGGCTTTGGGTTACCTGCATTGTGCAGCAAATTCCCACTGGCTATCTATTTTACATAAGGTAATGAGTATGTTTCAGTACTACACCCTCAAGTCATCCCACCTTCTCCCTCCCTCACTGTGATCATAAATCTGCTCTTTATGTCTGCATCTCATTTGCTGCCCTGCAAACAGAATCATCAGTACCATCTTTCTATTACATAGAAAGAGTCCACACATATGCATTAACATACTAAATTTGTCTTTCTCTTTCTGACTTACTTCACTCTGTATAATAGGTTCTAGGCTCATCCACCTCATTTGAATGGATTCAAATGCATTCCTTTTTATATCTGCATAACATTCCATTGTGTATATGTACCACAATTTCTTTATCCGTTCATCTGCTGATGGACATCTAGGTTGCTTCCAAGTCCCATCAATTGCAAGTAGTGCTGCACTGAACACTGCGGTATATATACCTCTTTCAATTATGGTTTCCTTAGGGTATATGCCCAGTACTAAGGCACTGCATCATATGATAGTTTTGTTCCTAGTTCTCTAAGTAGTCTGCATACTGTTCTCCATAGTGACTGTATCAATTTGCATTCCTTCCCACAGTGCCAGAGGTTTCTCGCTTCTCCACAGCCTCTCCAGCATTTATTGTTTGTAGATTTTTTGATGATGGCCATTCTGACTGGCATGAGATGATACCTTATTGTAGTTTTGATTTGAATTTCTCTAATAATGAGCAAAGCTGAGCATCTTTTCATGTGTTTAATAGCCATCTGTATGTCTTCTTTGGGGAAACATCTGTTTAGTTCTTCTACCTTCTTTTCGACTGGATTGTTTATTTTTCTGATATTGAGCTGCATGAGTGACTTGTATATATTGGAGATTAATCCTCCGTCAGTTGTTTCATTTGCTATTATTTTCTTCTGTTCCGAAGGCTGTCTTTTCGTCTTGCTTGTAGTTTCTTTCATTGTGCAAAAGAATTTACACCAGGGTCATTGTAGATTGAGATTCCCTTTGTGTGTGAGACTGTGGGAAGCATTGGAAATAAGATTTCTTGCTTCTGGTTGAGGAGACAAAACCATCATGATCAGACAAGGATGGTGAGATTCATGGTGTGAGATGGACAGAATGGTGTGAGAGTGATGCTGAAGAGGGTTTATTCTCATTACTAAAGAACTGAGTAGTTTAAAAAAGAACAGCAACATTACTTTTACCCATGAACCTGCATTTGGTCAGAGCACAGTGTGGATAGTACCCCTCTGCTTCCTTGGCATCAGGGAGGCTTGAAGCCTGGAGGCTGAATCTCCTGAAGGCTCGCTCACCTATGCTGAGTGGATGCCACTGGGCATGTTGGCTTCTCGCCATGAAGTTCTCTCAAGTAGTCTTCATTTGTGGGATTGTTAGTCTCCCTCACAACATGATGTTGCTTTGCCCCCAGATGAGGATCTGCTAAGAAATGAGCCAGGCACAGGCTGGGTTCTTTTCACTACCTAGACTTTGATGTCATAAGGCATCTGTTCTACCATATTCCACTCCTTGAGATAATCAAGAAGTCCTACCAGCTAAAAAATAGAAGGGCCCTAGACCTCACCCCCATCAGGAGTATTGCAGTCAGGGAAGAAGGGCCTGTGGGAAGGGAGTCCCACATAAAGTGAGAAAGGATGCCAGGGAGCCAAAGTAGAATTCCCCACCGCTACCCAGAGAATGGCATTCTGATGTCCCTGTACCATTTGCAAACCAAATCATCCTGGTCATGTCCTCAAACTGGAAAAGGTGAAGAGAGTCATGGAGTTGAAAATATTGTAGGTCCTAAACATCTTGATCCACCCCACACCCCTGCGAAAGCAACAACATGTTAAAGAAACAAAGCCCACTGTCCATAGGGATTCTGGCAGGAGAGCCAGAGCAAACCGGGGTGGGGTGTCCACGTCAAGCCCGTGTGGGGTGAGAATGTGCGTGTGCCAGGCCTCTCTCCTGAGTGGACACACTTCTCACCCTACTCTAGAGGGCAGCCAGGATCAGGTCACCAGAATACGTGTGTGGTGCAGAGTGGATGCCCCAGTGGGGTGAAGAGGGGGTTCACACAAGGGGCAGGCTACAGGTTGGTTTCTGATCAAGGGGAATTTATAGGCCTTCGTGGGTTTGGGGGCAGTCTGGTAGGATGTCAGAGCAGGACAAATATGGTGAAATGGCTGTTGGTACCAAGGGGCTGGCTGGTGTGTATCACCAGAACCTAGGTGGGGGCAGCAGGGTCTTGCACTTGTGGAAGAGGGGTGACAGGTATGTTATACATGAATCTCTTTGTAGACTAATCAGATAAGTCAATATATTAAAGGTGATGAGCCAGATTCCTCTGTGTCTGAGGATTAGATGATGACATTGATGTTCATTTCCTGGGTTTGATGGTTTGAATGTGGTTCCGTAAGAGTGTCCTTGTTTTAGGAATTACACTCTAAAGTATTTGAAAAGCAATGAACCACCATGTTGGTAACTTTACTTGCAAATGGTTCTGGAAAACAAAAGTTTTTGTATCGCAATTGTAGCTTTTCTATAAGCTTGAGATTGGTTGAGAACTGCGATCTGTACAGAGACTACCCTGGTGGTCCAATGGATAAGAATCCACCTGCCGATCTTGCTGGTCCAGGAAGAGCCCACGTGCTGCAGAACAGCTAGACCTGTGCACCCTGTGCTCTGCAACGAGAAGCCACTGCAGTGAGAGGCCCAGGCGCCACAGCTAGAGCAGGCCCGCTCTCAGCAAGCAGAGAGCCCATAGGCAGCAACAGAACCCATCACAGTCAAAAAGACAAAAGAAAGAAACTGGGAATGTGTACCTTTCACCTAACAAATAATAGCCAGTTTGAAGATAGTGAAAAGAAAATCTGTACAGTAGAAACAGAGGAAGTCACGACGCTTAGGAAAAATTTAACCAGAATTGTAAAAACCGTATTTGTGCAAGATGTTAAAGTGCTTCTGAAAAACAAAACAAATGTTAAAGTACTTCTGAAAAAAACAGACTTAGAAACATCAAGGTGTTCTTAGTTCTTGGATCAGATGGATCTACACCAAAAAAGGTACTGATTCTCCCAAAGATAATACATAAGTATGATATAAAATAATATAATGTGATTTTAAAAATCAATCCAATTTTTCTCTTGATGTTATACAAGTCCTAGACAATCTATGAAATTTCTGAGAAAAGTCAGTATGAAAGCATCACTAGGGGAATTATGCCCCAAAGAGAAATGAATAGTATGGGAGACAGCCTATTGGAGTTTAAAAACTACTAGAGTTCTTTCTGGAAGACAGTGTGGAGCTGAATGATGAACAGACAGAGAGACTAGTGAAACAGAATGGAAGAACTCAGAAATGTTCACAAGTATATATGGAAATGTAGTTTCTAATAAGGTACCATTTCGAATCATGAGGGGAAAAATGGACTTATAACAAAGATTTTTGAACAAGTCATTGGTTAAGAGATTAAGTTAGAGTAACACTTCATAGAAACCACCAGAATAAAGTTTGAATAGATATTTGTATATTCAAATATACAGCATAAAACCATACATGCACTGGAAATAAGCACAAGGAAATTCCTTTATAGATTGAGAGTGGGGAAAGCCTTTCTAGTAATGACTAGAAATCCACAAACATTCTAAGAAAGGCTGATAAATAAATTATGATTTGAAAAAACAACTGTAATGTTTCTATATCAAAAATGAGTACAAGCATATTCGATTTACAGGCAGCAAACTTGTGAAAAATTATTGCAACATATGTCACAATCAAGTTCATATATCTATTATAATGTACAGAGATCTGTAATCCAGAAAAAATAGACCAAACACCTGATAGAACGGGCAAAAGATCTGAAAGTTCACAGTAAAACATATATAAAAACTAATTAAGAGTCTCAACTTCACTGTTGGTAAGCTAAATAGAAATAAGGGATAAAGAAAATAATAATTCTACTCTATGTTATCTCACAGATGGCCAAAAATTCTACAGTTAAACAGCATATACCATGGATAATGCTTTTTTTAAAATTGGGGTTACAGGATACATCTTTGTTGTTGGCCCATAAGTTTATCTTCCATCCATATCTTTATATTCAAGATGTTTCTCCCGTACATCGCACAAAATTGGACCTTACATTTTTGATCTAGGCTGACAGTCTCTGCTATTTGGAGTATTTAATCTACTAAAATTTAATGCCTCTACTGCTAAGATGAGATTGAAGAACATTGCATTACTATTTGATTTCTATTAATGTGATTTAATTAGATTAATAATTAAAAATCATAATCATTATATAAAAAATTGATAATAAAAACAAGAGAAGCAAAAGGCAAAGGATAAAATGAAAGATATCCCCATCTGAATGCAGAGTTCCAAAGAATAGCAAGGAGAGAAAAAAGCCTTTCTAAGTGCACAATGCAAAGAAATAGAGGAAAACAATAGAATGGGAAAGACTAGAGATCTTTT